TTTTTTCTCTTTTTTTGAAATCTCACAAGCACGTCCTAAATGAAACAAGACATTAACTCTTAAGGAAAAACCGAAAATAAAAAGAAAGTAACGAACGTTACACAAATGTCGTTGCACAAAACGTGAAACTTCCAGAACAAAAAAAAAAGAGAGAGAGAGAGAGAGAGAAAATTGAAAAAAAAATAGAAAAAGAATCGTCGAAATTAACTGCTCGGCTGCAGCACGATTCAAATGTTTCTTCTGTTTCTTGTTGTTGGATGTATTTTAGAATGTAAGGCTCGAGATCAGCAATAGAAATCTCTGTTATGTTTGAATTCATTGTAATCTTCGTGATAAAGGGGGAAAAAAAAATCAGCCAATCTTCACTGAATATATTAGAAAAGAAAAGAAAAAAGGAAAAGAAAGCGAGAAAAATTTCCAAGGAGAATATATTTATTCCGCTGTCTGAGAAGATCGTGGAGGACTACCGTGAAACTTTGACATCAAAAACGAAAAAAGAAAAAAAAAACGAAAAAAAATGAGAGAAATGAAAAAGAAAAAAAATGACGAATCAACTTTGAATGTCTACGCGCTGGATGAAAAAGCAGTTCAGAGTTATAAAAAAATATTGGTGCGTATGGAAAATTCTTCCGTGAATATCCCGCTCGTGGCAAAAAAAAAGAGAGAGAAAAAGAAAAAAGCAGTAGTTGTACATTGCAGAAACGAACACGATGTTTCCTCTTATGATTTTATTACGTAATGATTTGTATTATAGTTTTATTGTTTTGTCTCGTTCATTCATCACTGTACATTATCCGAGATATTTGTCTGTCAAATCATTGTGGCTGTCAAGTATCTGTAATTTGTCTTCTCTTTTTTTCCCCCCACTTGTCGAGTCATGCATTTTATTTAATCAGATCATTTTTTTTTTTTTTTTTGTCTTTTATTTCAAATTTTTTTTTTTTTTTTTTGTTTCGTTTTGTATTATACATTAAGGTCTCTACTTTTTTTTCCTCATCATTTCATTTTTTCACATTATCCATCGGAACGCTTTACTCTGATCGTTTGAAATCGCAAAAAAAAAAAAGAAAGAAAGGAAGAAAGGAAGACACTTGCCATTAATTACGTTAGTTGCCATAGTTCTCTCGGTTTCGTTTTTGCGGTAGGAAAAGGAAACTATATATAAAGATATACAGATATAAATGAACAAATGAATAAATTGAAGGAAAAAAAAAAGCAAAAACTGCAAAAGCGGAAAAGGAAGAAAGAAAGAGAAAAGAAAAAAAGAACCAGAGAGAAACACGAACCAGAAACTAATACCATAACATAACGTATTCTGTAAATATTAATTTGCCCATTTTATATATATATATATATATATAAAAGTGTATGTATATTTATATACATATATATATAAGTATATATTATATAAATATATATAACACCATTGATTATACTATTATAAAAAAAAAAATATATATTATTACCAATTGTAATTTTTATTTTATTTTTTTTTCGTCAAACCTTATTGCCACGACACCCGACAATCTTCAGTTTAGCCTTTTTTGGTTTTCCTTCTGCTTTGTCGTCGCGCTACTTGCTGCAGTATCATCGTGCGTAAAAGCGGAAAAAAATGAAACGGAATCCTCGAGGTGAATGCAAAGTAGTTCAGTCGCTTCTGATACGAAATCTACTAAATCGAATATAGATTCGACGATGATTTCCGAACATGTACAAGGAGATACTATACTTGCGTGTCTTTTTTTTATCTCTTTTCCTTCGATTTCCCACGCAGGGGTTACATTGTTCACGTGTGTAAATTATACCCACCAATTTTTTTTTTTTTTTTTTCAATTTTTTTTTTGTTTTTTCTTTCTTTTCGTTTTTAATGCAATTTCGCTCACGGAACTGTGAAAGAGAAAAGGAAATTGTTAGATTGTGTGTATTACTCGTAGGTATACGATTGCGTAACATGGAATGCTTGTTTCACGGGTGGAAACGGTTTTACGATTAAGACTATACATTCTAGAATTGTAAGTACCATAAGCGATAACAGGAACAGGACAATTTTACGAGACTAAAAAAGAAAGAAAAAAAAAGAAAAAGGAAATAATAATCCCAGACTTTTTTGAAAATAGTTCCCACTTTTACGTAATACAAAAGAAGATTTACAGATGCCATGGCCTTAAAGAAATGTACACCTAAAAGAAGAAAAAAAAAAAAAATAATGCTCTTATAATATACATACAGCGGTATCTAAACAGGTATTATTGCTCTTATTAAGCAAAATATAATTGCGTATAATCGATATCGAGTTATCTGTACGAGACGGGAAGCCTGTGCCGGGACGAATTTTTCACGCAGCTCAAAATATCAATTCAGAGACGTTTCAGTCAAAGCAAGCAAAGTTTTTTATTACACACAAATGTATATCGTTTATTGCATTAAACTTCCATCGGATCCAATGTATCTTCTCTCTCGTTTTCATTTCTCTATACGCACGTCGGTCGCGTCTTACTTCCATTGACTATTGAAACAAAAAAAAAAAAAAAAAAAATAACACGCAATGATACATCTTGGGAAAAAAATCTGAGCCTCTCGCGATAGGCGAGAACGACAAGAAAAAATAGTAAGAGATCGCACGACAATTTAAAAAGCTACACACATACTCGATTGATAATTATCGCTGCTCGGTACATTGAAGTCGATGAAGGTTTAAGAAGAAGAAGAGGAAAGAAAAAAACCCAGGCAAAAAAAAAAAAAAATACCAACGTGGTTAAGTTGTATGCGATTTCGCGGGCGTGAAACGCATGGAAGCGCAAGCCTTATATTGTATTTTCATATAGTACAACACGCCGACACGTGGTAAAATGAATAATCGATAAGTTGTAATCGTTTTTGTATTTCTCGGGTATCTATCTTGTTATTCGATCGCGGTCGGCGACGACGATTTTCACCCGGCGGTGAAATTTCTCACGATGCATAAATAGAGCGTTCAGTGCTTCCGAACCGAACGAATTGTATATTCCTTGATTCCGATGATCACGATCGCGCTGTTGTGAACGATTTGGTCGTCGTCGTGGATAGTAGGACTGGATATTATAATAAATAGTGTCTTATGTCACGAGGGGGGGAGGGGGGGGAGCATTTTGCCACGATTTCATTTTTCGAAATGACGATTTGAGGGGAGGGAAATTGGGGGGAGATGTAGGCGACCGGAAGAGAAATAACGATGGCGGAGGATGCTTTTTGCCGTGTGAAAGGGAGACGAAAGTGGGGGGGGGGGGGAGATGGGGCGAAGAACAAGAGAACATCTATTTTTCACGAGACGTCGATCGTGAAAATGTACAATAAGTTCAATTTGTAAATACGTCACGCGTAAATATATATCTTAAACTTAACGTACGTATAGTAATGATATCGTTCGAAAAAAGTAAAAAAGCGGTGAGTAATAATAATATTATTATAGTAATTATCGACATACAGGCCGTAAGGCGAGGAAGTTTGCTCCTTGAAGATACTTTTCTAAAGTAGACAAGAGAGTGTGAGCGTGTGTATTTTGTGTGTGTGTGTGTGTATGTGGGTGTATGTACGTACGCGAGAGCGAGAGAGAGAGAGAGAGAAAACATTCAAACGATTCGTTGTTTCATAGCGTAAGTAAGCTCGATTTCCACGCTTTAACGTTAACGCAGAGAGAAGAGGAGGGGGGGGGGGGCAAACGTGTAATACCGATTAGGAGGGATTAAAAAAAAAATGTTAAGAACGAGCACTTCGACGAGACTTTTTTTGTATGAACGAATAAATCGAATTAATTTTTTCCCCACGTAATTCACGTTTACCCTAGATACGTAAGGTGCCGACAATGTCGTCAAATGTAACACGAAAACGATCAAGCGACATACCAAAAAATAGAAAGAGGAGAGATAACCCAAGTCGATTCTTCTGCCGAGGATATTAATCGAGGTTAAATTAAAAAAGAAAAAAGAAAAAAGCGACGTAATTCCGCGCGCAGTGCCAATGCATCGGGGCGGAGGAAGCAATACGACTGTGTATGCGTGACTGTGCAAGTATTTAAACACGTGTGTGGATTTTGTGTCTTGGTTATCATTCTTTTTCTTTTTTTTTTTTTTCTTTTTTTTTTTTTTTTTTTTGATTCTTTTTTTTTTTTTTTTTTTTTTTTTTTTCAAATTTTTTTTTTTTTTTTTTTGTTTCGTTTTGTATTATACATTAAGGTCTCTACTTTTTTTTCCTC